AAGAGTACTGACCTCCAGGTAGCTATCTGTGGATGACTTCATTCAAGAAGTTTCGCAGCTGTTTGGAGGCGACGTGAATTCCAAAGGTGTTCTCCAGTCAGGCCGCGACTGGAGATGACTTCATATTTTGGCGTACATGAAGGCGATTGGCGGCAGCGTGCTCCAGCTTATAGAGGAAGATCTTGGGTATCTTCCACCCTGGTACTCATATCCACTTCCCCTGTCTGGGCTGCGAAAACTTCGTTGATATGTGGCTCGGCCGAAATGACTTTTTTTTTTTGGCCCCCCCTGTTATATCACCTTGTATTCTGAGGCGATTGCGCTACAAAAAACAGAGAACAAAAACGAAACGACGATATCACAAGCAGAAGACTGAGAAATGATCCACGGAGTAACACAAAAATATACGGGCATCAAACTGTCGTCATCTAATAGGAAAGATATAGGGAACAATATGATAGAAATCTAAAACTTTAGAGGTCATTTCCAGTGAAATCTCCAAACTCCCAAATGTTCCTGCGTTCACGGCGTGCTTTTTGTTCTGCCTGCTCGTACTCACTCAGCTGTAAAATGGTGTATTCAAAGTAGATACAGTAAAAAAGTTTATAGCGTCTACGGCCGGGAGCCGGCATGGCAGCATTTTGCTGCATTCGCTTTTGCTACTGTGCTTGAAGACACATGGTACGCCCAAACACATTGAGGGTGTATGAGACTATCAGCCCCCAGCTGTCGATGTGTCGTGGTCCCCCGCCCAAAACTGCACGGGGTCAGAGTACGGGGCCGTGGGAAAGTCGTAATTCCTTGCTACACCGCCCATTTCGCAAACTCACGTTTATGCTAACACCGTCCGCGCGGCGCGTGTCGCGTGCAGCTCTCTTGGCTTTGCCAAGTCCTGTAATTGCGCTTTGGAATACAAGTAAAACGCAATTTCTTTATGCGGATAACATTTTAGGTGCTGCAAAATAAGAACTGAAGATGATGACGAGGGCCTAGAACTCAAGAGCAACTGTGCTGCTTCTGCAACAGCCCTCGCAGGCCGCGCATTCCCACAAAACATCAAAATAAAAACGGCCTAAGCGTCCCACTCGTTAGTTTGAAGTATTTCTATAGCATTAGAGCCGGATTCGAGCCGGATCGCAGAAATGCACACGCGATTAATTAATTTGCGTTTCCTTAATTGTCTTCAAATTTTGTTTTTTACAGTCTTACATTCGTTGGTTCGTTTCTAGCCTTTTCATCTTCATCACCTCTATTCGGACTTTGAAGCCTGAGTACTTCAAATGTTAGGAAATTGCGTTTTGCTTGTATTGTCATGTTTTATTGTCATGTTCTGTGGGAATGCGCGGCCTCTGAGGGATATTGCAGAAGCACCACAGAGCTGCTCTTGAGTTCTATCCCTAGTCATCATCTTCGGGTTCTGTATTTCGCAGCACCGTAAATGTTATTTCCGCATAAAGAAATGCGTTTGTACTCGTATTCCAAAGCGCAATTACAGGATTTGGCAAAAAGCCAAGAGAGCTGCACGCGACACGCGCCGCAGTGGACGGTGTTAGTAAGAACATGACGGTTGCGAACGGGCGGTGCTTAGCCAGGATTATAACTTTCACGGCCCCGTACTCTGACCCCGTGCAGTTTTGGGCGGGGGGACCACGACACATCGACAGCTGGGGGGCTGATAGTCTCATACACCCTCAATGTGTCTGAGCGTACCATGTGTCTTTAACTAAACAGGTCTCATCTCGGTAAACCTGTCAAACTCTTTGCTGAAGGTGCGCACGAGTACAAGTGATCCTAATCAGTATGTAGGATCTACACTTTCACAAGGTGACCTGACAGACTCGCTATGTTGCATTTTACACCCCCCTCCAAGTCGAAGTGCACATCAGAAAATTGTTCAAGCCATCAAAAGCATCAGTAACCAGTAAGAAAAATTACCATCGTTTGGAAGTCTCTCTTCTCCTTCCTCTTCTCGACTAACGCAAAACCATCTTCGATTAGAGTCTTACCCACATCAAGTTTCTTTCCAGCACACTCAATCATCACCTAAATAGAATGAGTAAAACATTTTGTCAAGCAAAATACGTAGCTAACAAATCAATTCCCACCTGGCAGTATTCAGTTGACCCAATTTTGTATTCAACATTGATTTCGGCAGTGGGGACTGAGAACAACAATTGTTGGAGTGCATCTTCGCATTGCATTCCGTATTCCTGCAAAGTCGAGAAAAGAAATTCTAGGCGAAGAACCTATAAGAAAGGCAAAGAATAAATTAAAATTTACCTTATCATTTGGAATCGCCACCAAGGCAACTCCATACTCTTTCGCTCCAGGTGGGAACGAAGCGAAGCCTGGAGGAAGCTGTGCCAAAGAGGAAGCTGCCACTGTTTCCCGCGCTGGAAAACAACAACCAGAATTTTCAGGCAAATTATTAGGCCTTGCAGTTTTATCAACTCACATTTCCGTAATCAACAAACAGAACTTCAGCCTGGCCAGAGCGAATGCTCTCAACCTTAGCGCGATACCATAACCCATCAACGGAAAACGGTGCCGCACACAAGTCACCGCGCTAAAAATCGACGTTTTTTCGAAATCGAAATTTCGTAAACCTAGCACGAACCAGGAGAGCAAACAACGGTAGTTTCAGCATACCTTAGCATTGAATGCACCAGTCATGGGTGGATGCTGACGAAGGTATTCACGGAAGTCCGCCGTCATCTTCTCCAGCTTCGGTCCATCCTCAACCAGTTGTGCCGCAAAGTTCAATGAACCCTTTAAAAATGACTCGTTTTAGCTCATACAAAGATTTTCCACAATCTCAACCCGTAGTGCAAGAAAAGAAAGATACCGATAGCCACAAGATACTACCGTTGATTGTCATGGACTACCAGGTCTACCGTACAACTACTATGTCCCATTGTTCAAAGTAGTAGTTGATTGGTAACGATACCCGCGCCCGTTCGAGAGCAGGCTTTTGTGGAAATTTCGGAGAAGTTTCAGGGACGCCGGAAAAAGAGGAAGGGCGACATCCCCGCCGGCATGAAGGCAGTTACTTGAGGAAAATTGCAAAATATGTTGCAAGTTCGGGTAGGAAGGTGAGAAAATGCAGGAAGGTGGTGGTGGGCAGGACAGGACAAGTTGTGCAGGCCGTACACACATTCAACAGGCCCTCGATACCGAAGAGAAATGGAATGCGTGTGGCTCTCAAAACGTAGACTACCGCTACTTCACTTGGCCCTACCCTAATACAACAAAGCCCAGTTTCAGAAAACAAGATCAGAAACATTCAGTCAAAATACCTTTGAGACATCGGTTACGGCGACCTTCTTGTACTTGCACACGTCTTTCTGCCGTATCATTCTGCTGAGTAATCACTTCATCAGGAACAACCTCTTCTTCCTTATAGTTCTGCCATATATTTCTCCTGAATGTATCCCATCAATGATTAATAACAAACTAAAACAAGGCAGCGTTCATACCTTGCGTCAGCATTTCGAGCGTGTAATAGCCAGAGTACAGCATCGCTCGGTGGAGCACATAGGTGGACGTACTTTTTCTGTGGGAAGTGGGGTCGTATTTGGTCGTTGAGAGAGGGGGGGTGGTCGTTTGTGGCTTTGAGAGAAAATTTTGGCGTTGGTCCGGTTGCTGACTCTTTGCGTGATTTTTCCTGTTTCGTCATTCCCCTGCCCCCAACTCGACAGCAGAATTACTGGAAAATGTGGGGGAATTGGTAGGTAGGTGTTGGGGAACGGGGATGGGGCGTACTGATACCCTCATGGCGGCCGTACTGGATACCCCTCATTCAGGTGGTGGGAGGCTTCGCAACCCTACACACCACCTTTCACAACATAACGATGCTGTACCCTGGCACGATTGTGAGCATTTTTGAGCATACGCCGCGCCCTCAGCGGACTGCCCACCAAAGAGCTCCGAAACTACTCGCAAAAATTGCTCGAAACGCTTTTGTTACGGCTCAGAACGTCTGACACAAAAGTAATGAACGCGTCTTAACAGATACTACGCAAAACATACTTTGCAGTTTTAGCACGCTCTTCCGCTAGAACCAGCTGATTGTAGTGAGCACTTCTTTCGGCGGTGAAATGCAACGTTGCGAGACCTTGTTCCAGAAGCACTTCAGAGAGGTTCTGTGGTTTGCCTCCTCCTTCAGGAGTGAGGAATAGATATCCAATGAAGTTGCCCATCTTGTCCAATCCTTCGACTTCAATTTCTACTTCATGTTGAAGGACTAGACGACGAGTGAAAGCAGCCGCCTCATCAGCGAATGGTTCCGACGGCCCGGTGACACCTCCTGGTCCAGGACGGCCACTCTGGAATAACCAGCTTTTTTTGCTGCATTGCATGCTGTAACACCACTGAACATACTTTGGGACAATTGATTCCACCAAGAAGGAATGTTATAAGCACGGTCTCCTTAGGGATGTAAATCCTTAGTCGTGATCCGCTCGCAATAAACTCGACAACACCTTCGGCTCTAAAGTAATAGAGCCTGATAATCCTGAGGAAAAGGGCATGTTAAATTGCACGAAACGTACCGCGTACTCCTTTGCAAATACGGCAGGAACTGCTTGCTTCTGGCCAGATCTCCTTGAAGCTCTTGGATGCGAAGAGTATCCTTCTTGTCAGCACTCTTGTCCGCAAACAAACCCTTCTTGCTCTTCTCAGCATTTGCTTCTGCGGCCAATAGAGCATCGTATTCAGATGATCTGGACAGTAAAGTAAGACAGTATGTAACCAATATTTCGTCACTCCACTTCACTAGAATTATTTACCTGTTTCTCGTCGTCTGACCGATGTCGTACCACCTTGCTCAGTCCCTTGAGAATCAACGCTTCCGCGATGTTAAGCTCTCCAACTTTTACCGTGCAGCAAGTTTTCTCAGGGAACTGTTCGGATTTAGGTTGGATATAATCCACTGTCACCGTGACATTCTTACCAATCAACCTGGAAGAGAAGGCTTATCTCTACCTTCAATATACTGGCTGCAAAATGTTGAAACTTACCTCTTCCTGAGGAACTCTCTGGCTTGGAACATGAATGGAACATCGTAGAGCGGCCGGAATTGTCTTCCAACAGATGGTTTCTCGTCGGAATCCCTTCAATATGATTGCAGTTGACACTTACTCAAACTTAACTTAAATACATACTTAATCGTTTCTTTGTGGTGCAAATGCTAGTTGAATATGTGCGGCATGGGACGGAGGGGTGGGGGGGTATTCTTAGCGGCGGATATGCCATGTTATGTACTGCCAGCAATAGCGCTCAAGTGTTCCTTGAACGGTTACGGGCACATTGTCACCAGATGGCTCTTCGTGCTGCGAGGGTCTAGGGGTATTTCTCTCGAGGCAGATTCTACACTCCGTAGGGCAGAAGGGTAAAGGAGGAGGGGTCAGGAAAGGAACTATGGAAAAGAAAAGAATGGATGATAAAAAACAAAAGAGAGGCACTGCCAGGTTGACAACGTGCCCTGAGAACTCTTGACTAAACCCATCACTGGCTACTTCCGCCGCTACGAGAAAAATCATTGGGAAATAAGACCCCCTTTGAATTTCCTCATCTGCTACGAACCTTCCTCATGCTATCCACCACAAGTTTTCAGATTTTTCAAGTTTTTCTTTCTAGTTTTGTACTACTTAAACATAGAAAAGTGGTGCTTGTATAAAATTCAGCATTATAAAATTCTAGAAAGAGAGGAGAAAACAAGGAGACGCAGGATGACAAGACATGGCATGGCATAGCCACGCTACCGCTCGGTATACCTGAACTACAATGCCCCTGCTTTCGTTCTTCATGGGGACTATCACATAGCAACCTCAAAGCATCTCGAATTACCAACCTTGGCAACCTCACAGAAGCGAGGTGAATCTTAACTTCTGAGCCATCCGCTTTTCGAACTACCATGGCGTCAGACATGACGATTTCCACAACTTTTCCTGTGAAGTTCTTCTTGTCTCCGGTAAGAGCACTTGCAGCTGATGGCTGATATGTTCGCCACAAACGCAACTTCTTGTCTTTGGCTTGCCTGTATTTTTATATATTTTTATTTATATTTTTATTTCTTGTTGATAGCAGTACTACTAAGAAAAACCCATAATTACAAACTTTTCAGCAGCGCGGAGTTTTTCTGCGCCACCAGTGCATAGTCCGATACTCCAGTCAACACATTTCGCATAGCCCTCACGCAACAACGACTCAGCTATGTTGCCTTTTGGATGAAGAACTGAGCCGACAAGATTTTGATTTGACGTTGACTCGAGAACAACCTAGAAAACTGGGTTTTCAAAAAACTTCAATGATAATATGAAAGGAATTTTCATACCTTGACGTCCTGCTGCAAAAAGCCCTTTGCTCGACGAAATATTTAGCTTCCTCGGCAAACTGTTCTGCTTTACCATCAGTTCCCGCACGCGTTGCTGGAGCGCGAACGCCCGACAATTGTAGGGTTATGTATTCGAAGCTGGGTAGAAGCATTACCCTCAAGGTTGACCCATCTCGGACCTGAACTCAAACTGAACTTTATATATAAACATTGTACAACGAATTAAAGTAAGCACTGCCATCAGCAAAGAAAAGCAGCAGAGACTCCAAGTGATCAGAATAAGTTCAGACTGTGCTGCCTCGTTTCGGGCGTTTTGAGACATGCGAAAGATATAGTTCATCCGTCTGGGCGTCATGAGCACTCCGCCAACATTTCCTTCGAATAATCGCATACTACAACTTTTTCTATGACGCTCAGCAACATCAAGACTACGATCAGTGCAGACGCCTTTTCGAAAACGCTGTCGCAAAGTATGAACCACACCTTTAAAAAAACTGAGATAAAACTGCACCATATTCAACGACAGCGTCCACTGCGTTTCTGTTTGTATTTGAGACTCTTACCAACTGCCTGGGGTTCTCGATGACCCATTTCACTTCTCGAATGGCGTCGCTCGAACTACCCCATTTACCCTTTCCAGCAGCTTTAGCTTGATCTTGTAGCTCTAGCAGCTTCGTGACGTATTCACTGAAAAAGTAGCAGTTTGTATGTTTGTGAAGGACCGCCACCAGAGCTTGATCAAGAGAGCCTCTGAACTCACTCCGCTATTTTTCCTGGTCTGACCTCTAGCCAACCCTCTGCCACTCCAGTTTCAGTAACATTCTCGGCATTGTCAGGATCTAAATAAAGAGCATTGATTGGGCGCCCGTTCCATACTTCCGAATGGAATGAAATTGGGAGAACGCATATCCAGTAAGGTATACCTATCAATTTGGACAGCTAGTATATTGCTCTAAAATTCAATCACGCATTACCCTATTTTCCGGGATGCAAGGCGCATTTCGCAGAGTGGCAAGGGTCGAAATGTGGTTTTATATGGGGCATTTCGGATGGATCTTTTCATCTCTTTCCTCCACTACTTAATCACACTACCTTGCATTGGTATCTTAGATGCATAGCACTCCATTTTGGAACCTGGAGCGCGAATTCAAAACGAAATTACGGATTGGAAACGAATAGAAAGAGCAATGACGCCAATGCAGCGCCAATAATGAATGACGTAGTAATAATCCAGTACTGAATTACACATAGAGAAAAGTTTTGAGCAGCTTATTTTTAGGTTTTCAGATGGTAACCGAAAACTGGTTCCGAAGAATTCGGCATTCTCGGACGAGAAAAGTTCAAGAAAAGTGAATGAATGAAACACGCACTTGCTTCTCTCCCAGATAAAAATCCTTGCCACTGATCACGTCCGCCGGACGCAGCAGTAAACTCCTTCACAAACGTGACCATTTGTCCAACGATTTTCTTTCGGAGGAATTCGCGCGAATCCCACGCAAACGGCTGAAAATGTGTAGCTTTGAGCTGGGCAGTTTTGACGGGCTCATGAGGTTCCGATGACGGGCTCATGAGGTTCCGATGAAATATGAGAAAAAAAATACTAAAATACCTCATCAACAGTTGCCGCAGTCGTTTCCGTTGGACGTTTGCCTAGTCGCGGAGCAACCACATTACTGAGATAGACGGTAGTCTCTGGTGGAGGACCGTTTGTGGGCTGACCTTGCAAGACTACGGCATCTCCAGATAGCACCTTAATAATGCAAAGATCGTCATTTCAAGCGAAGAACATCCAGAATCGTTGACTTTTTCGAAAATTAAATCTCCAGTGATTATCTCGAAACTTTCCCTATGATTGCAATGCCATCATCCTTTGAATTAAGAGCCGGAATAGCGCAAATAAGTCTCAGCAAATAACTAATTATGGGCAACTGTGCCCTGGAAGTGACACCCCACCGAGCTACACTCTAACGCGAGCACAGACTAGTTGAGAAAGGGGAAGGCAAAGAACGTACACGGCCACTGAAGTAATATACCCAGCCGTTTTTTAAGCATGCAGCTAAAACCACTGCGAACGCTTTCCTGTGAATGGAAAAACTTTCTGTCTAACCATAAGTCTGGGAAAAACAGCTCGAGGGGTAGTCGTCACCCCTCCTTTATCCTTCTTCCATTTTTCTTCTTTCTTCTCTTTTTTCCCCTCCTGAATCCAAAACTGTCTACTTGACTGGTTCACAACTGTTTCTTCGCTCTCGTAGAAAAAGGTGCCCCTCCCCGAGGTTGACGCTCCTTCTACGGATGATGTGCAGCGCTAATGAGGGCCGTAGCGATCTGTTCAGTCACTGTGGAGCCGTGGTAACCTCTGACATTGAGTCACTCCGTCTCCGACATGAACAAGGAAAGAGTTCCAAGAATCAGGTAATCGAGAACTGCGCCATCAATAAGTGAGACGCTCTTCACGTGAACAATCCCTCATAAAACTCTTTTTTGGACCACACACATTCACTTGCCAACGGATGCCCGACATATTGACTGATAAACCTGCCTAGGACGAAGTTTGAGATCTGGGTTGTAAATACGACAAATGCGAGCTATAAATACGACTGTTCGCCTCTCATACGAATCTTTCACATTTCGTAGTGGGCATTACAAAAATAGGAACTTCTTGACTCCTAAATTTGTAGCTATAAGGGGTAAAAGGATAAAGCATTCGCCGTTAATCAATCCCTTTGTGGGATGCGGCACGCATTCTACTTCATCAGCAATCGAGTGCGCTTATTGACGTGGCCCCGTATACAATGATTTGTGGCGGCCAACGATGTACAAGTCAGTGTTCTTATCCCTCCCAGACGAACTTGCATTACCAATCTTACCGCTCTCCGGGAGTGTAGAAGGCCTTGGTTTGGCCTGGTGGCGGGTGGCGGGGGGATCGACCTGCGGATTCGAAACCCAGCGGCACCGCAGCGAATTGCGTAAGCGCGGCCTTTGTCACTAGACTCCTCCGCCTATTAATTTGTTAGCTCACCGCTGCTTAGAAAATATCAGGCATAAACTAAAAATAATGCATCGATTTAAAGAAGCAATGGCAGCAAACGCTGCCGGAAATTGTCACATTCGAAAAACCAATAAACCTGAGTGATGAAAAACAATGAAAACACTTTTAACGATGATGCAGTCCGTTGGGCAAAAACCATAGCACTTCATAGATTACCCACCACATTTCGCGCTCTAAAATAGCACTGAATCTGGGTCTTTGCAAGTCCCTTTAATAAGAAATTCAAAAACTCTCTCCAACAATACCGCAAAAAATACATATCCAATCGAAGCATGCATCGGGACTACATGCTCGACGTGCTATTCAATAATCTAAAAAGGTTTTTTGCTGAAAAGTCCTCTGTTATGGCTATTCAGCTTCCTGGCTATGAATTCATTTTTTTTTGGAACCGGAATTTTTTTGGAATTCATCGCCACAAAAAATCGTTATAAAGTCGCGAGCAAAGGTCTAATCGTAACCAAGGCACCAGATGACGCTTATGGCCTGAGTCTGACGCAGAGAAAACGATGATTTGATATGCTGGGGTTGTAAATGTAGGACAGCGTCAACTTCTGATAGTACAGACAAACACGAGCGAGTCGTGAGAGTGCTCCTACAACGAAATCGGATATTTCAAAGCCCGGTTCTAAACTAAATGGCACGGAAGATCCTCTATACCTTTCTAGGCAAAATGGTTGGCGCCAGTCTTTTGCTAGCGCTAGACTTCACACCTTTTGCGCTCAAAACACGCCTCAGCGTACGGTGGCGTCCCAATGATTTCGAGCGCGCCAGGGACCAGCCTCAGCGGAAAGTGTGGATATCAATCTTCTCCTAGCCGCTCGAAACGCTGCTGCACGCTAGCGCGCGCACGCTCGAAGCGCTGGCGTACGCTGATGCAAAGTATGAACGCAGCCCTACCAGCCACATCCCTTTGGGAGTAGCCTTATACTTCGGCCATCGCTTGTCACTGGAAACCTTCGGCTTGTTATTCCAGAATATTCGGGAATCACTCATGCAATGGCTTGAGGCAACTGGTTACTGTTTTTATGGGACGTTAGGTCGTTTTCATATTTAGCGATTTGTGAGATTAGAATAGAATGTACGCCGGAAGGAAAGCATTGCAGCCCATCGTGCTTGAATTGGATACACAGGAGGTTTGGAGAATGCTAGCTAATGGAAAACATGCGTTTATCGATCCAGCGAGTTAGGAATCGATCGATGTCGCGGTCTCCTTTGGCGCACATTCTCCTAATCTCCTATTTAGCGCATTCTCTCCACCACACAAACTAAGAACGTAGGCACTACGTGTGGAAGAATACTGGTAGTGACAAATGAGCAGTAGCGCGATAAAAACCCATATAGAAAAGAAGCTATAGTCGCAGAGTTTAATCAACAAGGAAAACAGTTCTTACCTTGCTTGACGCAATCCACGACGGAATGTCGGTGCAGAAGAAAGCGGCGGCCGGAGGCGGTGCAGGAGCAGGAGTTACGTTGTCAGCCATGAAACCCGAATCAGGAGCGAGAACCTGGTCCTCGTTGCTAGAACTACCCTGAAAACTTGTAATGATAGACCCGAGAAGATCCAGTTTACAATTAAGCACGCGATTTCATTGTTGAGTGAGTTGCACTAGCTTCTGGAAACTGATATTACCAGCAATTTCCACTGCTGCACTCACCAGAAAAACCCCTAGCCAATGTCGAGGAAGGAACATGCCATTAAAGGATTATAACTAACAGACAAAGGTAGACAATACCCTCCTAAGAACTTAGCCCTACCAGTTCCCCAGAATAAGAACTTAAAGATGAAATTTGGGTAAAATCTGGAACCATTCAGAAAACTACGCAGTCTCTTGGAAAATGTGAATCCACCGTAGTCCTTACCTCACCGAACTACAAGCGAAATTGCTAGTGGCGGTCCCGCCACTATTTCCTTGTCTACCTAATTTTTTCATCGAATAGAGCACGGAATCTCCACGAGAATTTCTCCTTTTGGGAAGACTTGGATGAAAAATGCCCATTGTTTTATTTGGAAAGGAGGGAAGATTGCATTGAAGAGTTCCAGTAATTTATAACTACTAAGGCTTGCGTCCCATCACAGCTACTCCAGTGATTTTATTGCATCGAATTGCGTAGGTTGCCATGATACGTGAGCCAGCCTAAAGGTTCCATTGATTCATTGTTGCCAGGGTTTGGAGCACAGTATTTTATGCTTGTCAATTGGTTTCACGTCTTTGTCCGAAATCTCACGATTTTTGCAGATTTTTGGAATACAGTAAGTAATGATGGAGCACATCTTCATTTACCTTGCTGATTTCCCCTTGTAACCTCGAATTTCGTTTAGCCCTTAGAAGAAAACAGTCATTTCAAAATGAACCATGAAGAACCTTTTCCGAATGAGAAATTAAAAACTCCATAGGCATAATGAGAGAAAATCACGAATCTTCCATCATCAGATTGGACAGACGTGAATCATCGCAAAAGTCAAGTTGTACGAGGACAGACCCCGGGGCAATACTAACCTTGGGAGGGGGAGTGCCACCCCTACAAGCGTTTGTCAAGACGTGTATGTCACCATTTCTCCAGTTTCTTGCAGATCTTGACATTTTACAGGACTTGACACGTTACTTGACAGGTGATAACAAGTCTTATAGGGTCTTGACATGTTTGTCCGTTATTCACATGTATACAGTTTACAGAATTTGATATGCTGACAAGTTTTAACAGGTTTGGCACCCCCCAGTGTTTAATGCGGTATGATGCGGATAATTCATTGCTGATTTGTTAGGCTCTTTATATATTAACCTCGAAAAAATTTCTGTAGTTTTGGCAACTTCTTTGATCGGCGTTGTTAAGTGTACAGTTGTGTTTACTCAGATTTCTACAACAGAAGCGAGTTGGTGCAGGGCTTATATAAGGTAACCGCAATTGCGCACAAGGATTCGTAATGCGCGCCCATATTTCGCGATCCGGCCGCGCGACTGGAAAGCTCGAGCGATTGGATCGCGAAGTATGAACGTATTCCCCAGGCTTTGCACTAGGCTTTCACGACATTTCCTGTCTTTTTTCAGTATTCAACAGCATATAGGGCTGAAAAGCATGAATGAACGACAGCTAGCTAGCAGAAGGGGAATCCTTTGCCTAGGCTACGGGGTGGAAGGACTACTTCATCCATCGGTGGTAGGTGCGCGAAAAACTTCCAAAAAATGTTATTGCATGGTTTTGAAAATGCCTGCGCTGCGGGTGCCCCACTACATTAACACACAAAATGCCCAGTGAGTTTGAAGTAGTAGTCTCCACGCTTTGCACCCCAGTTTCTTGACTTTCCTTTTTATTTGCGCTTTCCCGCTTTCCCGTTTGCCTAGCAACGGCTATAAGACCATTGGTACTGAAACTGCGCTCTTTTCATTGTTCATTCGTAAGCTTCTCGTTCTATTGAAGCCGTAGTGTCAATACTGTGTGCCTCTTTCGTCGGACTATTTCTCTGTTGTAGCATTAATCGTGCATCGCTTAGATCACGTTCATACTTTACGACTGAGGAGATTCGGCGATTGCAGGAGCACTGGCTGTTTCCGGCCAACTTGCGGCGCCTAATGTAGTGGATGGGTATCCGATTGGCGCCGTTCGCTCGCGATCGCGGAGATTCGAGGATTTCCAAAACGCCAGATCAACGAGTTTCCGCAGTCATCAGATAGATGTTTATACCTTCCGCGTCGCGCGCTCTCCAAACGCCAAATCTCCCCAGTCGCAAAGTATGGACGCGGTCTCAACTGTCCCTTACCAGGTTCAGATGAGCACGGGCCACCAACCTGGCCTATTCAAAAGGCCAGCGAAAGCACACAAAACATTCAAAGGAAACGCATCAAAAGGACAATTGATGCTGAAACAGCAGGTACGACTGTAGTTCCCCCAAAAAAAAAAAAAAACCCCAAATTGCCAAAATATTTATTTCATTTTATTGTTTTAGGTCGGGTGGCAGTTTCCACGGTGATTCGCTCGCGTAAGCGTTGCTTGTCAAAAAGCGAGCGCATCCAACAAGCTGCTCAAATTCGAGCAAATAAGCGTCGAAGCGCTCTGGAACGACGTCGAGGTCTAGATGGAGGCCACTCAGCTCCGACATTGATTGTAAGTCTTTTAGACTAGGCCGTGTCATCAGTTTGCGACGGGAAGAATAGAACGAGCCTAGTATCGCTCGCTCAAACAAGAGTTTCCGCAGGTTTTACACCAGCAGTGATGAAACCTGAACAAAAGCGGGACTGTGCAGCAGTGAAAGTGCAGAATGCCCCGCCGTCGCCGAATCGCGGCGAATAGAAGAACTGGAGGGCAGTGTGAATGTGCAGCAGGCAGGTATGGGTCTAGTCGGGCATCTCGGAGAACCAGGGCGGAGAGGATCGCGGAATCAGCCCTCTCTGGAAGGCGCGCAAAGGAGGGGGGTGACCATTCAGTCGACCACGATTTCTTCTTATTTCTCAGTCATCATTTCGCTGAATCCCCAGTTCTTTACTTCCCATTCTACTGTTCCCCGATTCTCTTGTTCTCTTATTCTCGCGACGCAAAGTATGGACGCGGCCTTGCCGCCTTAACTATATTCACTTTTTCTTTGAGCTCTTTCCAAATCCTGGTTCGCTGAAACCAAGCCCGTTTATTTGCTAACGTTAGAAAGAGTCCGCTAATCGAAAATGCGCGATGGAACACTAAATGGGTACGGGTTAACTCCGCCCATCAGCAATTCGCGCATTCCATATTCGCCTATTCGCTAGATTGATGTATATACTTGGCGTGTTTTCTCTTAAATAAGCGTATTTTCCCCATTCGCGGGTTCGCCCGCAAACCATGAAGGATTAGGCGATGTCGTAGGTTTCGTTCTGGAACACCACTGTCGAGACTTGCACCTACTAAGAGTGTGCGATTCCGTGAAATGAACTTGATCATACTGATCCTGCGGTCTGCGTCAACCGTAAACTTCAGCCGAGGAAAAAATTTTTTTCTTTTGTCTCTTCTGGTGGAGCCAGGTGTCTCTTACCGTCTCTCTTGCTGTTTCGAACGCGAACCAGTCGGTAGAAATCCATTTAGGCGCAGTTTTGTCCGGACGGATGCCGGCGGCTTGCAGGCGCCTAGGTTCGACAACGCCGTTCCAGCCATTCCCAGCCGATTGTTGTCGGTTTGCTCCCTTCCGCACTTGGTGGAGAACAGGTCGGTTGCCAAATCCGGACTTTTTGGCACGCCCCAGCTTCTGGAGCGAACAAGGCTGTAACTTCTCGTCTTTTCGCCGTTGCCTCTTTCGTCTAGGCGCCAGATATGAACGCAGCTTCATGGATCGCTTCCATTCAGCCCAAACTTGTTTCCGTTTTTTTTTTGCTAAGAGCGAGAAAAGAACGTGATCGGCGTTTAACGGTTCTGTAGTGAGTTAGGGTCGGCAGCTACATCCGTCTAATATTTATTTCGAGCAAACTAAACAAGAGGACAGCTCCTGATTTCAGACTGTGTTGGCTTTTGGAAGGAGCCAAGCTCCTCCCGATTTTGTAAACGGTGTATCTGCATGTGACGAGAGCCATTTGTACGGACGCTCAGGACATAATATGCGTTTATCTTACCGTGAGCTTATTGATGTTTACGTGCTGTATAGCTTTGCTTGAACAATCATTTCCTTTCAGCATTTCACGGTTCAAGTCACGGATTGGCTTGCTGACTCCAGATCCTAAGAAAGTCGACGATGTTTTGGATTGTATCAAGGTAAACGTTCGATTAGCTATGGGAGTCGCCTCAGAATCTAGGGTTTAATTCTAGGTATCCGACGTTGTATGTTTATTTATGGCCCACAGTCGGAGAACTGAGTGATGAGGATCGTTTGCTTCTCACCATCATCAAGGCGCACGGTTTGTATATTTGCTTGGATTGAACTGCTTACAGATGAAGGGATTTTCATTTTGCACTTTTGCTACTTCACCCCTTCGAGTTCTTTGTCTTAAAAAGTGTTGACAGGAATTCTTTACAGGAGGTGACATGTAGTTTCTTCGAACTTTGAATTATTCCGTGGTTTCACGAAATTTCCTGACTATGTTACTTGTCTGAACATGGAATTAGCTTCAGTGTGACCTCCCCCACCCTCGAGGCCGAACTCTCCTCCCCCCTCGAGAGCCGAACTGGCCGAAAAAACTGAAGCACCAAGAATGATGAATCTTCGAGCGATGTGAGGCAAAATCCCATCGCAATATTAATTTTGGGGTTGCAAGAAAAAATACAGTTTGTCTATCAAAATGTGCGGGATTTTTTTTCACGAGAGCTCGCACCCATTTTTCATTTCCACCGCTGAAGGGGAGGGAGGAGGGGGTGGCAGTTCTTTTCTATAGTGCATTAGTGTGATTCCCCTGCACTGTGACTAAATAGGAACCCCTGGGGTGGAGTTTATGATCAACATATTAAGTCTTTTTCGCCCTGCGAATTATTGGGGCAATTTTTAGGCTGGGCTTGGCACGACGCCGTCTCATAGTACTCTTACTGTTGAAAAGGGTAAAGAGACAACAACTGGTGGAAAACCTGCTGACGCCACGTCCCTTGGCATCCACTGCGAACAAGACTGTACACAGAATCTTCTCTCTCATTTGTTGATCGAGTACTTCTCAGGTCTGCCATCACTTGTCAATGTGACTCCTAATTGAGTCACGATACCAATTTGGAAAGGAAGCAGTGAGGATGCCAGCGAAGCATCGCCAATCTTTAATCACATGCAAGAGGGTATGTTTGCTTTTCTAGATTACAATTACCTCTTAGTTTTATTGGGGTGTCCTTTCAGGAATCTTGTAACAAACAAGTTGTTTTGTTGCGATACAGATTCGGAAAAAGTCCTACTTGTTCGGCATTTCATTGATATGAAGAAGACTAAGATGCTGCTCCAGAAGCGTCGACCCCATATTCTAGTAGAGAAACTGGATCTCGCTGATGACAACGTTTGGTGAAGTCCCCTTGAACTCCTTTTTGGTTGTTCTAGACCACTTGTTTTAGTCTGGCATATGTTCTGTATTGGCAAGCGGTTATCTTCGCGGACCGGCATGGAACGTGAACCATTTGGTCCATATTCAAGGATGGGGAGACTTTCAAATAGGACGTATATTTGCACATGCTGATCCACATCCACTGAAACAGGTAAATCCGCAGTATTTCGCTGATTGTGTGGTTAGGCAACGCGCACTCTTCTATTCTTCCCATACTCGTGTATTAGCGCTCGGCGCCAATTGATACCCATCTTAGCGGCAGCATTTGTAGCTTACTGTCGTCATTCGTTATTAGTCAAACTTCTGATTGGACTGCAAAGCGCTGTGCTTTACGGTATGTTCAGACTCGCCGATGGACGCGCGTAACCGCGCTATCATCTACAACGACGCCCTCCAGACTTATAGACCTGCCGAACGAAATATCGATCTTCTTCGGCCGCTACTGCTTCTACAAAGTATGGAGAAATACGAGGGTGGGCGTCCTGATCACACACCATTTTATCGATCGGTGCTAAGCACTAGTAGAAGCAATAACGGCCGACACCGATCGATACCTGTCTGTGGCTGCGTTCTCATCTGTAGCTTTGGAGCACTGTTGATGTTGCGCGTCCACGCCAAGTCTAACATGTTTGCCTTAGTGTGAAATACAAGGCCTAAAACGGCGCAGAAATCCCTGGCCTTGAAGTAAAGCCTTCATAGTCTTCAGTGGCAGGAAAATAATAACAATAGTACCTAGTTAGTTTTTTTTCTGTAGTTCTTTTTGTAGTTCCTAATAGATGACAGGCTTCATTGTGTGCTTATCATTTCGCAGTTAGGTTACAAAAATTTACAGATCTTTGCAGTGCGGCCTATACACACTTACTCGGTGCTCCCTCCAGACCGAACATGGTCCTATATTTATTCCTTATTTATTTTGTTCCAGAATGAAAAAGCTGCACTGAACGGGGATGATACACCAAAAGTGCTAGTGGTTGCTGACGAGTCCCGACGTGAACCCCTACAATCCGAAATTGTTCCGGACCCAATGGATGCTGAACAGACATGGCCTGATGAATTCGACCTTGCTGATGATGCTAAAAGTCAGTGCACTGTAATCTACGCTTTTCATCAATAATAATAATAATAATAATAATAATAATATCAAAATCGTAAATGACATCGGTTTTTTTTTTCATCTTGCATTTTATAGTGAAAAATGAGGCTGGCGTTCGCAAAGTACCAAAAGGAACTTCGTCATATCAAGCCGCGTGGATTGTTGATGATGACGATGGTGAATCGGCCAGTGACGATGAGGACAGCGCTGATGATGTGAGCTGTTTTGTAAGTTGACTGAGTGTTCATTTCATTCATTTATTGGACGTGCGATAGCACATAGAACATAAAACAGGACAAAACTAAATGTTAAAAAAAACAACACAAAAAACATAGAAAAACCAGCTCAGATAAAAACCGATTAAGTTGCTTCTAAGCTCACATATGCAGACAGTAACTACAACACTTCAAATGAAATCACCGACCCGCCTCTTGAAAGTAGCATACTTTAAGGGGAACACATTCGAACGTAAGAGCAAATTGAAGTTGGTACAAGTTCTATTACTAAAAAACCTTGACCTGTACTGAGTCCTAGCAAACGTGGCACTAAGTCTGATACTAACTCCTCTTGTATTAGTAGACAGTACTTGGAAAAACTGTTCAACGTCCAATTTCACTAAGCCATTTAATATTTTGTAAGCCATCAGTAAATCATATCTCTTCCTTCTCCACTCGAGAGATTTAAGCCCGTACGTCGTATTCCTCACAAAACCTCTAGGTATATCTAAGTAGTTTAAGCCCGTACACCTAAGCATTAGTTTACGAGTAAAGTTGTTCTGAACTTCCGAGCGCTTGAATTTGATGTAGGGTTCTAAAGTTTACTGGGTAATTCAGTTGTGACATACCTTTTGACAGGAAGATGAAGAGCACGGGAATGAGATGGAGATGGAAGTGGCTCCTGAAGAAAGTGAAGGTGAAGGTCCTCATATGGAAGAAATGGAAGATATGATGTCAGAAGTTAATGATGACGATGAAGCTGATGATCTCGACGAAGTATGTTGCTATCTACAAATTAATCTAGCTGTTTTTATGCAATAGAATTCATGTCGGTGGTGTCAGAGTCTTGTCCGCGGTGGGTGAAGGGGCGTATCGAGAAGCTGGGTTCGGAGCGCCTTCAGGCCGTCTTCCACCAACTGTTGAAGCGAGTTAGTGCGACGCTGCCGCTGATAAACGCCTGATGGCTCAAATATTCATATGAATCTGCACGCTTGCCGAAAAAAAAGCGAAAGACGGGTTAGGCAAACTGCCTCCCCACCACCTCTCCTTCATCTCCTTGATACGCTCCATCATCCTCAGCGAACGAACTGTAGGTGTTTTTTTAAGGTGGAAAAGTATCGTCGCGAAAGAGAGAATGCACAATTTCCCGATGAAATCGATACGCCTTTGAACGACCTTGCTAGAATTCGTTTTCAGAAATATCGTGGCTTGAAAAGTTTCAGGTACTCATTTTCTTCCTTTTGTTGCTCCCTAGATCGAGATCTACGTTATTGTCAAGGTTTTCCACTAAAATGTTGCAGGACGTCTCCGTGGGACCCCAAAGAAAATCTTCCGTCAGATTACGCCCTATATGTCCAATTCCAAAAACTACAAAAAGCAACCAGGAAGTACGGAGTACTCAGCGAAATTGGGGATTATGATCCGACGTCATGCGTTTTCTCTGGGCAATATGTGACGTTGCAGATTGATCGGGTTCCGATCACACTTGCTCGTAAGTTTATTTTTCATCATTCTTTCATCTTTCGCCATTTTTATTCCTTTTTGGGGTAGTTTTTATTTCTTCCAGTCTCCACTTTCTCTGTAAACTTCTGCTTGCTACAGAAATTCGTTCTAAGTTTGAAAAGCACTAAAATTTTCGGTACTTTCTTCGAATTCTACCCAATAACTTTTGGTGCCAACATGGTTAGGGGGGGTCACTGCGCCTCTGTGACGCTTCCCTTCCCCAGGAGAGCTTGGAGCTTAAGAGAGCAATAGCAAGTCACACTTAACTCTGTTCGGCTTCTGCGCAAAGACCCGTGAGCGAGTGATAACTGTGATCTTGCGGCTACGCCTAGACCTCAAACTAAGAGATGAGCGGGCGCACATCAGCCCTCTCTGGCTGCGGATGCTGACACATTTTGGGTGGGGGGGGGATTTAGACGCGGGTGCCAACCGTCTTTCGCACCGACTGTGGAAGTGGCGTACGACGGCAACTTGCTAATGAGAAATGGCTGCCACGCCGTGCCGCCAGACCCAGTTCCCAGCTGACATGAGCTTCACAGGCTGTAGATACTGGTGCGTACACCCTCCCCACTACCTGAGCGTCCGATATTCCAGTGTTTCAACAGCAGTATAATATTCCATTTTAATATACTCGCGACCACCTAGCTGTAAAAAAAACAGGATGCCAGTTGAGGTTTGACGAAGACGCTTAGCAACAAAATATTATTGCAAAATTGAAATATGGAGGACTTTTCTTATGAACGTTGGGGTTCCTATATGTACTTTCTTCCTCAAACTTGCCCACCGACTGGTCAACCTTTATCTTACCCCTGAATATGCCTTCCTGGCACTTCGATGAGAGCTGAGTTACCTCTTAGGTATCGCCCCTCCCCCTCCCTCTTAATATTCCTCACTTGTTCGATTTTTCAACATAATCGGTGAGTTTTCATTTTCAACGGTTTTTCTTCGTGAGTCGTCATGCCAGAAGAGGTTGATTTTTGTGAAGTGAATTCTCATTGAAAAAATGAAGAAGGTACCCCTTATCAGTTTGTTATGCTTGTCGTTATCATGAGGTGTCTGAAAACAGCATAACGTTGAGGTGTCCTCTCCTAAAAAAATTGGAAGCCTTCCTCTGTAAACTATGAAGTATGTTTAGTATTCAGTAGTGTTCCTATGTAGTAACATTTTGCTATTTTGTTGAAATTCTCTCAGCACTGTTTCCAAGGAATTTGGAAATATGTGTTAGTTTAGCGGAACCCTCATTGATACCCTGCTTCCAACAATCATCCGTTTCAGAGCAATGGGATCCATCTGCTCCTTTGATTCTGTATCAACTTTTGCCTCACGAACAACGCATGTCTGTTCTGAACTTTCGTGATCCGGAAACATCCTTCGTGTAGGGTTCCGATCATGAGCAAACAGGTACCTTTTTATCAAAGAAACTTTTCTTTATTCTTCATTCTCTACAGTTGACGTTTATTGTTTCAGAAACTAATCTTTAGTGTTGGATTCCGTAAATTTGAAGCATCTCCTATTTTCAGCCAGCACACAAATGGGAACAAGTTCAAGGTTGCTACATTTGCTTGTTAAATTAGATGGCTTTTTCAACTTATTTCAATGCTTTTGCGACCTTTATCCTTTATTTCTACTTGCCAGATGGAACGTTATTTGCCTGCGAATGCGTGTTGTGTTGCTTCGGTTTTCGCCCCAATCACTTTTCCTCCTGCCTCAGTCTTGGTGTTCCGCGAGGGAAAAGCAGGCAAAGAGGTGAGTTCAATTGATTCTTGCGTTTTAGTCAGTAATTTAGTGCTAATGTCGTCGCAATCAGTCTGGGCGGAGTCCAGAGGGGCGGAATGACCTCCTTCCGGTTATCTTTTCCGCCAGTAGCGATGATGAGTGGAATGTCTCGAACCTTGCCTCTTGACACCGCCCCGACTGATGACGGTGATATCAACTGTAATTGCTTCCTTTCCTTTTACAGTGACAGACTTCAATGGTCTCCTTTTCAGGAGCTGGTTGCCACGGGCTCGTTGCTGGATATTAATCCTGACAGGATAGTGTTGAAACGAATTGTGCTGTCAGGTCACCCATTCAAGATCAACAAACGTTCTGTGGTTTGCCGCTACATGTTTTTTAATAGAGGTGAGTTGCATTACCAGATGGAAGGTTTCCGATAGTGAGGCCTGTTCATACTCATGGAATGTGAGGAATATGCGATTTCGTAGAATTCGAGATTTCTTATGGGCGAATTCAAATAATTCTCTTGTTCTCAAGGCACGTTGTATGTTGGGATTCCCAGCGAGGAGGGTCGTATTTGCCTTTGAGAAAAATATTTTTGGTTGCGGCCTTTTCTATTTGAAGTACGCTACGCGTACTTTCCCGCGCTCAACGACAGCTTTTTGGCAGAAGGTGGAGAAAACTGGCAAATCCGTTTTCTGAAGAAAATTAACAGAAAAGGGGCAGGAAGCACTGAGAATTCAGGAAGATACTATATGGGATGGTCGATGGAGAACGAGAGGTACTAGAGGAGGAAGTTTTGGGGGGAGCGGGGGGGGGGGGGAGGAAGTTAAAAGTATTTTGCAAAATTTTTCTCCAGCCAGCGAAAGGACGTATACTTCTGATCCTTTCCTTTGACGCCCATCCTTCTGAGTATTAGATTCTTTCGAACTGTTCATTCTCCGAAGTCGCAGATTTGCTAGATCGATGAGTATAGATTCTCTGGTTGCCGATTCCTCGGAATCCCGGATACTCCATATTGGTGAAGTACGAACGCGACCTGTAGTTTCCAAAATAAGTTAGCCTCTAGAAGAGCTCCAGCATAAGCGGCTGGAATTCTTGTCATGCTTTTTCCATAATATTTAGTGCCTCATTTTGGTGACTGTTATTGTCTTAGACAATTTTTTGAATCGTTCCAGAGGATATCGAGTGGTTCAAACCAGTGGAATTGTATACGCCTAGTGGCCGCCGTGGGCACATAAAAGAGGCCTTAGGTTTGTTGAATGTTTCAATAACTGCTATTTTTCCCTCGCAAAAGTTACGCAAGAATGCTGAGCCAGGGTATAGAGTTGGCCCTGTCACACTGTCAGCCTGGTTACCGAAGTAACCTGGTGACTGTGAGGTCCAAATTCCAATCCTGCGCAGGGTCGAGTTTTCACCTATGCCTTATCATTCTTGTGGAACCCCCAAAGTTGGCGCTACAATAAATCATTTAGTGTTGTTATTTTCAGGTACTCACGGTCACATGAAATGCCGATTTGATCAGCAACTGAACGCTGCTGATTCTGTTATGATGTCCTTATATAAAAGAGTGTTCCCCAAGTGGACGTATAATCCGAGGGTTCGTTTTGTATGCTTTTTATGTCGGTATCGTGCTATTTTGGCGGGGTGTAGGACGAGCCGCGCAAACAACTGACACGTTTCTAGGCCGTAGGTGGCGGCAATACACATTGTATAACCAAAAAACAGAGATAAATTTCTATGCTGTCATAGTCTATACGAAATCCGGTTCTCACATTTATCACATCAACAGGCTCATCCAAAATAGGTAAACACTACCCATCGCCGCCTGCGACGGAGTGGCAAAAGCGATTGTCTTGACCGTCTCTTGTTTTGATGGAGCTTTAGTGGCCGGTGGCGCGCTTACCGCGGTCTAGGACTCAAATCCCGAATCCGCTATCGCCGAGACCAATCAAGCCTTTTACCCGCCCCCGGAGCAGTGCACGCCCTGCCCTTGAGGAAAAAAAACGTTGGTTGTTACTCCCTCAAAACTTTCTCCTGTGTCAGAAGCCCCTTCTCCATCCTACTTACCATCTTTTTGAATTATCCCCAACTTCTGCTCACATTTCCCCGGGATTTTTTTTCAGATATCTCCAATTCCCTAAAAAACTATCGTCGAGGGTCAAAAGGAGTGGGGGTTACTGTATGCGAAGCGGGCAATCCGAGAAAAGTGAACCTGACGTCATATTCTCGAAGGTAAGTGCGGCACCTCCCTCTTCCCTCCGGCTATCTAATTCAGCACACTGACGTGCCCCACTCCGGAGAGGGTAAACTGGTACCACATTCGCCTGGGAGGATAAGAACAGTAACTTGTACATTGGCTGCCCATCACCCTTCGCTTCCCAAGTCACGGTACGGGCCATTTGATAAGCCGCAACGATTCTGAATGGAAGTAGAACGCGTGCCGCATCCCAAAAATGACTGATAGAACTGCTATAACTTCACCTTGTTCTTTATAGCAATAGTTCCTTATTTTGGACCATTTTAGGTGGGACGATTTGGAAGTAAAGCTGCTGTGTCACAAGAAAGCGAAGCCATGGACGATTGATTAGATATAAGACTCGTAAGAGATGCAAAATGCATAAAAGTCATAGTAGTTATTGTTGATTTTTGTTGTTTTGCTGATTTGTTGTTCACTGAGCCTTTTTTTTTGTTATTTGGTTCATGTTGTGTAATCCATTGTTATTTGATATAGATGTTTCGTTTTATCATAAAAAGTTCTATGATGAAATCGTTGTCGATTAGAAGCAGGTTCATCCAAAGTACAGTAAC